TCAGCAACTCAGTAAAATTAATTTCGCAGTTCTTTTCAATAAACAACATATCGCGTACAGTTCCTGTGTTAAAAATCTCGGCTTATTAATTACACTCAGTTGGAATAAGCATATTAACCGTAAAGTTACACTCACTTTACGGAACTTATATAGGGAAAAATTTTCCTTTGAGTACAAAAATTCTCCTCGTCCAATCTTTAGTGCTCCCCACGCTGGATTATGCTATGATTAAACAAATTGGATCGTCTTCTCAACAATTCCATTCGCTTTATTTTCAATTTGCGCAAGTTTGATCATATTTCCTCTTTCCGTTCTCAGCTTAAATGGCTTCCTCTCCGCTATCGCAGAAATGTACGTATGCTATGTACCCTCTATTCTATTCTATACGATCCTAATTTTCCTGAATATATTAGTAGTAAATTTCACTTCCATGGGGACAACACCAATCGCTCCCTTCGCACAACTAGAAGATTTTTACTTCATGTCCCGGCACATTTGTCCGGTTTTGTCCATCAATGGCTATCAAACTTTGGAACGACTTACCCCTTGACATCAGGACTGCCACGAGTAAAATTTCTTTGCGAAGATTGCGGAAACATTATCTTTACATATAATTTTGTATACTATTATTTATTATCTTTTATATATTTTTCTCTTTAGCATTAAGTTTCTTCATTTCTACTACAAGGCGAATCATATTGTATCTATTGTAATATGCTTACACTGTCGGCTGTAATCACTATTTCATTGTCAGATTATTGGTCATATATTTATGTGTGTATGGTATATTTTTGTATATGTATATGTATTTTTGTGTATATTTGTAGGAATATATGTAGTTACATGTGTATATATATATATTTATTCATGTATATTCTATAAAATAATATATTATTGTTTGCACCGCCAACAACTTATCTCTGCACAACTCATGGTTGACTGGTAGAAAATGCCATTAGGTGTTAAGTCCGCCATATGTACTTTTTACCTATGTATGACGTGCATTAAAGTTATTTAAATAAAAATAAAAAAAATGAAATCACGTCAGTTAGAGCAGCGTCGAATTCAGTATGAATTATTGAAAAAGTTTTGCAGGGAAAACCGCGTGGAGGTCGTTCTGACGTAGAACATCATTAGCAATGGGTTCTATAAAGTCTATTGCTAACAATCCCTAATGTATTTTGTGTCTTAAACAGATATGTCACTAATAAAACAAACCCAATGTACATTAATATCTATCTATATAATATGGAATAAGGGATGATCGACCTCAGGGTCAGACGGTGACTCTGAGAATGAGAGGGGTGCGTTGCTAGGTAACCGTCAGCCGGTCTTCGATTCTCCCCATTCATAAACAGCGCACGGACAAATAGAAGAATAAACAAAGAAGGTACTTAAATGTATACTTACTAATGAGGTATAATTTATTTGATATAGGAATATAATTACTAGCTCGTAGCGTATAAATTTTTTGGCTTTCTCATAATCATAAACAGTTACCTATATATATATTTTTTAGTAGATATTATTCGACGTTATAAAAACTTTTAAAGAGAACATCACTTTTACAACGCCTCATATAGATTCTCAAAATTCTCGAGGTATCAGTAAATATATAATGCCACCTACACGTAGCAAAACCTTTAGGAATCCACTAGTAAAGTATTAATAAATGACATTGTACACACTGCTGACACTATTATAAGTGATTGTTTCTTTTATACTCTTGTCTTTTTTTGTAGCAAAAAAACCATATAAAATTATATTAATTATATAATAATAATCTCATTCATGTAGTATAATTTATATTAATATAATTATACTACGTGAATGAGATTACAAAATTTTCTTTTATTTTATAAAATACTTATTTATTATCTTAAGGCGTCATGCTTTGATTATTCATTTAGGGATTTCTTTTACATTTACAATGTAATATAATTTCACGCGGACGAAGTCGCGGGTGCAGCTAGTCTATAATATATTTAAAGTTGTAACGATTTTGGTAATCATCTTCGACATTCAGTGATTACATTAATGAAGATCTTGGATCTCTCACTATCACATCACAATGATGAGACATTATGAAAGCGACATAGATTTTTCTTTAGTGAAACGGGTTTGACCATATTATGTCCATAAAAAAGATTATATTTGTTGGGAAAATGATAGGTCGCATCTATCATATTAAGTACGTCTTGTTTCTTAGACTGCCGCCCGCGCCGTAGCGAATACCAAGTATAATTTCAGGGAAGACTACAATTATAGGGGATCGCGTGGAAGTCGACCTGTAATGTTACATTGTTAGAAATATTGCCACCAGTGTTCATTATTAATACTCCTCTCCCCATAACTAAGTAAGTAATCACTACGTTATAATAGTACGCACTCTCTTACATGCCCCGAAGGGAATTGTGAGAACAACATATGAAAAAATATGAAATCGTATTTAACATTAACATATTGAAGTCTATTTTAAGATTCTAAGGCTAAAAAAACTGCTGCAATTCCATACATTTATTAGTATGTTAGGAATATTGACTGGCAGTTCCTCTCATTCCAATTTATCAATGTCCAATGTACGCAATGACATGTAAGTGATATGATAATAAATATACTATTTTTTTAGATAAGCCTATACCTTTTCAATTTCATTACCCAAAAATGAAATTTCATAAAGTACGTATAGCGCCATCTATGGAGGAATGTTACTATTATATATAAACATATATTATATAAACAATGATATGTCTTATAAAGTTACACCTAATTCTACATAGGTGGCGTCTAAATCCAATATTTAATTATGATTTAAAAGAGATTCAAAACGAATTAATTAACAATATTGAAATGTTATAATACAACAATTTTGAAATATTGTAATAAAATTATTAGTAATACAGAGATAGTAATAATAAATTTAAAAATCTGCTAACACTAAGAGTAGCGTAATAAATTTTAGTTTCTTGCTAAAACTATAGATGTCGCTGTAATGCCTGAACTATTGAGTATGCTAAAATTTATGGTTATTTTTCTGTAAATGGATTAAATATGATGTTATTAATTAAATTAAAGTAAGAATTACAAAGAAATACATTTTCTACAACAATATATAATTTAAACTCATAGCAATTGTGAAATTTGGACAGTTCACTATACGACGAGGTGGCCGAGTGGTTAAGGCGTTGGACTGCTAATCCAATGTGCTCTGCACGCGTGGGTTCGAATCCCATCCTCGTCGATAGCTTTTGCTGTCTGAAAGTAATAAAATTAAGTCTTAGTTGTCACAGTACCAATTTATTCCGTGATAGATATATTAACTATTTATTAAAGTTATTATAGTCAACTTTTTGTTATTATAGTAATGGGACCAAATAACATTGAAACAGGGTAGTTCGATGTGGTTTAGCTTTTAAAAACTATTATTTTTATATTTGTTAAGTAGTTAATTATTTTAGCCCAAAAAATGCGTTTATTGTAAGTTGGAATAATTATTAAATTTTTAATGTTCATTTGTTAATAAGGCAAATAAAAGATATTTAAAAGTTTGGCGTAAATTGTAAGACATGTCAGTTCAAAGTTATATCGCCCATTCTATCCCAATCTTTAGCAAAACTTGAGTCCATAGGTTACCAAATTATATTTTAACAAAATGCATAGTACCCCAAGTAGAAATTATGTCAATTTTAAATATTCATACAAAAATTGTGTTATTAACATGTTTTGAATGTGGGTAAGGGGATTGTTAATGAACCCATTTCTAGCAATGTAGCATGTTAGTTTGACCTCCTCGCAGTACCCCTGGAATCCATGATGATATGACCGCGTGGAGATATTTCTGGAGAATTAGCCAAGATTACTAGAACTAACTTGACTTCATGTTCATCTTATCATCCTCCACTTATAGTCCGCCAGTATAAACCTTTAGTGCAGGCAGGTTCACCATTCCATTGTCATTTATTAAAATTAAACATGATTCTACATGTTTACTGAAATAAACTTAATATAAAACTTACAAATTTAATGGAATTGTCTGTCTGTGCATATCATATGTATACAAATATACCAGTTACAATAGCAATACCAAACAGTACAGTTGAATTGAAAGCTCTCAGTTTAATATGTTTTGTTATCGATGTTCTCCATTACTTGAGAGTTAGTGGGAGGTATAAATTGATATACATAATTTATTAATGCTTGATAGATTTTATTTCACAACCTTAAATGTTTTGTTTATGAGGTTTGCTACGGCGAGTAGAACACTACCGTACACCAGGAAACTTACAATTTTATTTAATTAAAAGCAAGAAGAAATAGTACAAGAGAATGAATATATTTATTGCCACTAAAACGATACAATCCGTCTAATTATATTGTACTACAGAATCATTTGTAAATAAAGAGCTATCCATGAACAGCGGTGGCCTTCATCATCTGCATACCATCAATTTATTTAGCAATTCCATTTATTAATATACAAAAAAAATCATTTGCGAGATTAGTACAAAGTCACATGAATAATCATAATAAAAAATGGTTTCCAAACAGGTACCCATAAATTGCGCATCTACAAAAGGCAAGGTACCGTTTTGAATTAACCGGCAACGTAACTTAATATTTTGGGGGGTAGGGTTACAATATAATGCCATATCAATTGAATGAGGAAAATATATAAAAACATATATGTACCAACACATTTTGTGTAAAAAACTCCGTCTGTACATATCATCTTTTTCTTAATTCATCTATTATTTGCCCTTCCCGTCATTAGTAACCTGTCCAGATATAAGTAAGTACAAGTATTAGAATGATTGTTGTTAATAATGAATATAATGTTAGTTTGTTCAATACACCGGTTTCACTATAATCGGGCTCTATCTATCTAATCACTAGAAAAAACAGATATACCAAGATAACATATTCGATGTATGGATATCATTCGTTACAAAATTATCTAGACCCGTTTTCTATTATCTTATCTTGAAACAGAGCAGGCAATATATGAGTGTTCAGCAATAATTTGGTCGCGCCCTACATGAAACAAGTCTGACCAAATTTTAAATTATTGTTTACGGCAACTATAAGTTGCACATATCTATTTTCTTCTGGAGATGAACTTTTTACAAGTGACAGTGATTATAGTGTAGTGTATTTAGCTGACAAATTTAAAGGACGTTAATCTTTTGGTATGTTCGATCATGTATTTATATAAAGGTATAGGATTAATTTTCAAAAATGCCTGTTACAGGCACGACTCAAAGTGCACATTTTTTAATTTATCTATTTGTTGAATATTTAACAAATTGATGATGAATATTAATTTTAATAAAGTGGAGAATAAAACTAAAGGTAGAATATAAAACTGAGTAGGTTTTGACTCAAAGAATAACGTACTTGCAAAATGAATAGTGCAAGCAACGAAGGTATTCTCAAGAGTAAAGATGGTGGTAGCATAGCAGTCGCTTACATGGTCTAACTACATCTAAATACAGAACTCGTTTCGTAGAAATTTCGTAGAGTTGATTGGAGCACAGGGCACAATATGCCATCGTAAATCCTGAACACGGATGTATATTTCATCTCCAAATTGTTATGACTTCTAACATTGAGAACAATGTGAAAACACGTATCTGTGTAGTACCTATACAACAGATTCTTTAGAAAAAGCACATATATTTCACATGACCCATATATGTTATCGGCTATACCTATTCAATTTGTACTTAGTAGATACCTGGTACTGTCGATACCATTAATACCATTTCATCTAAATTCTAAGAACAAGACTAAATGAATAAACCTAACGATAAAAAGATATCGTAAAACAATCAAAATATTACAAGCGTTTCAAAAGTATAAACAATTTCAATTCGATGTACATACGAGTATGTACGTAATGAAATTTTTTCTACAGTAAACTATTTTGATAAATTCTGATAATCAGAAATTATCAGAAAGCTAGTAGGTACATATTTTTGTCATAAAAGTACTCAATAGTAGTATGATCAAATATCAATTTGATATATTATTTTATTACATTACTGATCATCTAATTGTAAAACTCATAGTCTATGATTCAATCTCTCAAGACATTGTTTATTAAATTATTGGTGCTTTATACAAGTAGTAGTAGATAAAAGTAGAGCGTGCAAACATACTTAATTAGGCAACCTTCTACTTTCAAACGTATTAATTCATATAGTGATAAGGACAATTTGTGCCCGTTTTTAAATACTTATAGTGACACATTCTTGTGTTTTTATATTACAGATTATAAGTAATATTATTTCAATATACTTAGCTGTTACATTAATCGCCACCAACTTCGCATCACCATAATAATTTTATAAAAAATATCTAGGTATATAATATAAATTCTTGAAGTATTATTAGAAGGCACTTCACGTATAACTTTAACTAAATATTAAACAGAATGTATTGGAAATAATTTCAACAATTAATTATTAGAGATACATAAATGTACCAAACCAATAAATTATGTTTTATAAACAAAAATAATTGGTAAAGCAAAAGTACACGACAGAGCTTATCATGATCTGTTTAAGCTTATTTATAATGTTTTCCTAACTCAGTATCTAGAGATATCTAGATAATCTAGAGGTTAAATATTTGCTTTATATTGTCACTTTTGTCAAGACAATTAGCAGACTTAATTATTTGACAGGAGACGAAAGTATTAAAAGTCTAATGATATCGCATATCTCTTAAGGATAAGCTTGATCTGTTTTATTACTTAGGCCGGTACGACCAACTGATATATGAAGAACATGTTTAATATAGTTGAGGTCACATGTTATAGAATTAAAATAACAAATTATGCACGTATTGATGCATAATAATATATATGTATATTAGGAAAATTTCTTTGTTTGTAATACAGTATTTGTCATTTAGATCCTTAAATATCATTATTTCCTTTTGCCACTCCCCATATTAAAAAACAAAGATAAATTGAGCCATATTATATGAAAATTCCGAATATGGCCTGTCATCGATATCAATATCACCTTTATCATATCTAAGTACCTACTATTGTCGATTCTCGGCATTCATATCTAACTATAGAACAATGGTAATATGTAATCAATATTATTACTCATATACTAATATTAGGGAAAATAAATAAGCTGTTAGCATACTACTTGTTTTAATTTCTATGTAATTTACTTTTAGATTTCATCATGTACTTGGTAGCTTTTGCTTTATTAGCCATTTTCGGCAATGCACAAGCACAGATTACAGCTGAGGCTAACGTTGCTCCGGATTTGAGGGAATGTTACACAGATCCTGAGCTGATGAACAGAAATAACTTGCCACCAGCTACGATACAAGTCCTCATCGATATCATACAGAAATTAGAAGACAAAGACAACGTTGACCTACGAGTTCTCGCAGTTCTACTTCTCCACACGTAAGACACATCGTATACTCATTCTAGTACATTCAAATGTTTAAGTATTTAATATAAAATATATATTAGTATGTACTGTAAAGTATAAGGTAACATTTATTGAATTAAGTATATTAAATAATATTTATACAAAAAAAGTATGATATGGCTATCCATAATACACGTAACAGTGAATACAGTGGCTCTATATCATAGATACCTACGTTATAACTAATCAAATGTTCATGGCAGCTCTATCACAATATAACTCGGTAGGTGACGTTGTTTTTCATGCAGACAGAATGAGAATAGTCGAGTTCGCTAAATAAAAAAAAACGCAACTTAAAAACGCAACGGTACGGTTAATACATATATTAACCGTCAACTGTGGATCCAACAATCTTTTTTTTAACTAATTCAACATAGCTTACTGTAAAATATTTCATTATCATTATTTTTGTGGTATATGTTTCATATTGTTAACTTTACAACTCCGCAGGTATCGACAAGATGGGATAGAGTATCATCCACCACTAATGGGCACAGGCCAATCGTCCCTTGTACTTCCGTTCGCACCCACATTTCACTCCTTCTATCGTCATAAACTGTTGCTTACCAAGCTTATTCCAAGCAATCGGCAATCACTGGACAACAACACTATTTCATCGCCATTGAAGGTATATTATAAGGATACTATTATTGCTTTTACATATCTACTTTAAGAAAATTAACTATTTACGATTATTATTATAATCGTAAATAGTGGTTAGAAAATGTTTTGTACCTATGTGTATATTTATATCTCACAGTAATTTCTCGGGCATAAATTTTTGTAACACTTATATTTTCCTGATTTCAAGCAGCTCATTTCGCTTTTTTTATATGAACAGAACCGTCGCCGTGTATGTATACATGAACAGCACGACGATATGATGTCATTATGTGGTAACGCTTATGCATTACCTTAGTCCTACGGAAAGGACGATGTTATGCATTATTAATATAGTTAATCAGGTCGTATCAGGAATAACTTTATTGTAAATATATGTATTTATCTCACTTGACAAACAAAACTTATATTTTAAGTATAATATATGGCAGAGAAATCACTGGATATTGTGAAAATGTTAATATTGATAAATAGGCAACACTGTTGCATAAAACGCAACTAAATATTTAAGTATTATTACTTGTAGTGTGCTCTGCATCACATGCTGTCCACGACCGTGGATGCGAGATTACGAGGTGACGAGAACACTTGTGGACAACTATCACAATATCGCGCTTTGAGAACAGCTCGCTCAGCACCCTCCCAAGAAAATATAAATGACGACGTTGAAATTTTCTCCCCGAGAGAAACGTAAGTATATTTATTTTTATTTAAACTTAAACCAGGTAGCCATTATCGAGATTATATAACGGTTGAATCTGCAGATAACACCTAATTTAACAACTGAATCTGTAGATATGCAGATTGTACAGCCCCAAAATTATAAACCCAAATTAACTGACGATTGACGTACCAAATATACATACAGTCGAAACTATCTATATTACAACATAGAGTTCTTATAGACGTAAACATGCAAGATATGTGATTTCGAAACTTTATTAATACACTTTAAAGGCAAGGTGCCTTATATGCCAATACGATAATATTTTTCAAATACCGATTATAATAATTATTTTTGCAATCAATCGACATCGAATAGAAACAAAGTTCTGTTAATTAATGCTTTGTTTTTAACAGTTCAAAAGAATAAATTATTAACATACTCGTAAAACGTATGTAAAAGTATTTTTCCTTTTCAGAAAATCTCGCCATGCACAAATGAGACAATATAATCCCAACAGCGACGTTGATATTACTAGTAACAGTGGAAGTTTGTTCGAACGCCAGTTACTAGGCGACAGTACATGCCCAATATTAACTGGTGTTGTGAATACTAAATGGGGAGCCATATCTGCAGGGACTCTGATTGCGGGAATAGCTGCAGGTGCACAGATACAGCAAATCAGTCTCAATGAACTTTCTAGAGGTTTAATTAACGACGTTTCAAATAACCAACAAACAGTAACCAATCTCTATCCAGCTACAATTGCAGGTAACCTTTTAGTTTCCTATACTTTTGTACGATACATTGGTAATTTATATAGATTTTCGTTAATTCTATACATTAAAGATACATCTGATTGTCTTGTACAGTAGACAAAGACTGTTAAAAGTCGTTTGCATACCTGAGTTTAACTTATTTTAACCACGAGCAACCTGCTTTATAAACTGGGATTCGGTTGGAGGGTGGGATTAGGAAGTAATATTATAATGTAAGGAACACGACATCTTAGTCCTTTGGAATGGTTATACCCGAGTGGTACCACGGATGTCACCTGTCTGTGGCAAATTATATATATGATCAAAAAAACAAATTATATATATGAAGAAGCGCGAAACTTGGGGATTATTTTTGACAGTCGGCTGCGATTTGAAAAGCATATTTTAAATGTAGTACAACAATGTTTTTATCGCCTTAAGGTCCTATATAAAATTCGTAATTTATTATCGGAAAGAGTTCGTATTACACTATGCGAATCATTAATCTTATCAAATTTAATTATGGAGACATTGTGTATGGACCACGACTATTGGCCAGAACTCAACGCCTGACTCAAAGAGTGCAAAATGCATGCATTATAATGTAAAAATTTGACGTTCATAAGCGGCTAAAATGTCCTACATGAATAAATTATTTTTGAATTTGAATTTGAATAAAACATGTTGTCGTTTTTGCTTTAATATTCCCCCCTGAAGCCATATTAGTCCCTATTTAAACAATGCTTCAATTTTAAATATGGAATCGCGAAGACAGTTACACCTGGCTAGTCTATTGTTCGATGTAATAAAAAGTGAACAGCCAGTTTATCTCTTTAAAAAACTAAATTTCTCTTCTCGTATTCATGGATGCAGATTCATTTGTTCGAAATTATCATTTCAAGTACACAGAACTGTGGCATTTACTGGCACTACCAAGCAACAAAATGTTGGAACAACATCCCGCCACCATTTAGGCATCTGACTGTACACAGTTTTAAAAAACATCACAAAGAATACTTATTAGAAAAACAAATTTGGAATTCTTCTCATCCGGTAAAGGTTCTTAAAAAAAAATTTTTTTTTTTTATTTCTCTATGTTACTCTTATTAATATTTTCTTTTTTTTCTTTTTGTTGATCAGTTAAAATTATATCAAATTATACTCTGAACTATTTACATTATTTTTATTATAAACACACCACACAGACAACCACTAATAATATTGCTCCTTTTTATTTTATATTTATTTTAATTATTATTTTCACGTACCCTCAAATGGGTTGAAGCTGAAAATCAGTGTTTTAGAACATGACTTTTTGTATTGCTACAGATCACACATAATAACACAATTTTATAAATCTTATGTTGTATTATGTATTTTTATATTCTTATGAACATGTTATGTGTGTGACTAGTAACAAACAAATAAACGATATATCTATCTATCTATATGCCTTACTTGCATGGTTCTCTTTACACTTGTGTCTAGTACTCATCATGGCAGGAAAAAAAGGATGATATTTTGTAGTCAATTATTTCTAAGCCGCCTAATTTATGTACGATGGAGTTGTACATGACATGCTTTCTCTTTTTGCAGGCGATCTGGCAGAAGCAGTATTGATTCAAGGAACTAGGGGGAGTACCTCGATCAGTGTCGGTAGCACAGGCAATTGGAATAGCTCTCATCCCACGAAATACTACATGTTGAGCAATAGGAATAATGTAGAAATGACTGACCCTGAGATACGAGGTGGCATTGACGGGTTCACTCTAGGAATTCGTATGAATAATATACAACAAACATATTCAACATTGAAACTGTCGCAATTGCTCGATATGTACTATACACCGAGGGTAAGACTTCATTTTTACTTATTAAAGTTTAATATACACCTGTACTCACATACTACTACTACTAAAAAGATCTACTTATAAAAAGACAACTTTTGTTATTTATCTATGTCAATCAAGTCCCTTTTCTTTGGAAATTAAAATATATTCAAACATCAACTCATCTGTAATCTAGTATACTTGGGTATCTTCAATATTGCAAAGAATCTTCAATTTTCAATACAATTAAGGTTACGTTGTCTAGGGTAGCTAGGGCTATTGGGTAGTGCGACCTACTCAAAACGTTGAGACAGGTAAAACCTTTAACTATCAGAAAATTATTCCTATTAAAACCACTTTAACAGTAAAGTTAAAAACAATCGTTATCAGAGTAATAGTAGTACATTGTAAAATTCAATGCCCAGTCTCTAAACTATATGAAATTCATGTACTGCAAGTTTATATTTGTGTCTAGTCTTAAGGTTTTTAAATTCACTATTTTTTATAATATTTCCAGAATGGTGTGTTCGACCCTACATTACGAGCGTGTAACCGACGTGAATTAGGCCAGGCAGTACTTAACGACAATAATTTAGTTGGCCAGTCGGAAGCTTTCGCTGCAGCTTTAAATGCGAATATGCCTCTTCAGGGGACAATAACGGATGGTTTAAATCAACTAGTCACTGGTGCAGTTTCTAACTTTCAGAGTTATACAGGTAAGTGAAATTGTTTTTAAGGAACTGTTCACTAATAACACAACACCGAGGTAGATTTTGTAAAGAGTCGTCAACAGAGGTACCCACGATCTTCAACCGCCAAACAACTTGCTTTATGAACAGTGTTTCGATTTGAGATGCGAGACATAGCATCGGCGTTACAGGGTACAGTTATATCAGAATAGAAAGAACTCAGTTTTCTCTGGTTATATGATAGTGTGACTATTTAAATAGATAATACGTACCACTAATACAATAGTTAATAGTAAATAAAAATATCAACATTTGGTCTTAATATTTATAGGCAACCATCAAGAGTACTACTTTTCATTCGGTGGACTATGTCTATAACATATTGAATTATAATTTAAACAAGCAGAAGAAGAAGCAACAATTTACCTGACCTCGAAATATTTTACATTAGAAACTTCGAATTCTTTATGAATTGAACGTTGTAACAATTTCTTAACTTAAATGAAATGTTTGTATCATTTTCAGAGAGTAACTTAAATGACCTAAATTGTGCCAGCTCTGAGCTTGGCATTGATTACCGTTCCATTACAAATCTTTACATTGTTTTGGACTCGTCATGGCAATATGAGACTATTTACCCTGCGATCTCTTATCTTTTGGAATCAATTGAAGTCAATAAGTTCGGTTCCAGTGTAACTTTATTGAGTGCTTCTGATGGCAGTGTTGTAGTCAATAAAACATTTTCTTTGGCAGAATTCCATTCTAATTACACATTAGCCACACATCGGTCAAGTAAGTAGCGTATTTTAACTAATATTAGCAAAGAGACATATGGCACTGGATTGTCTTTGTCAATTTCTTAATTAACTGGAGACTGGACTGGACTTGATTATAAATTTTAGATTGAATATTAAATTCAATTTTAGGCCGTACTCTAAAATGGCTTTCTCTGCCTACTGTAATACCGATCTGCGTGTATATATGTAATAGAGACTTGTCATATTCTAAAAATGTGACTAACAAATTTTAATAAAACATATCATAGGTGAATAATATCACCTTTAACACGTACAGACTAAAAATATCAGGTAGTAGATATTCCATTTCATTAAAAATGTATGTTTAATTTGATATATTAACGCGACAGCTTTTAGATTTAAAATACAATTTGTTCATGTCCAATCTGCTACTCCAGGATAAGTATTACATTGAAATTCATTCCACCTAAAAGGTACCTCCATACAAACATTTTAGTTTATTTTTATATTTATCTGTATGTAGCATAATATAACATACATCATGGCCATAAAGTGCTAAGTACTAGACGGCGACAATACGAAATAAAACACTATATTACAGGCTATGTGGTATCGCCGGTTAATGTATGCATTATCCTTTGGTTAAAAACAAAGGAAATCGTTAATAGTCTGTTTTTCTTTTGTCGATAATTAAGCTACAAGGAATTTAGAATTTCGTTCGAAATACAACATTGAGTTCTATCCTATTAGGAATGTGTTATTTTTGGGTAATTGTCAAATAAATATTTACATAGTAGATATACTATTAAAATTAATATTTCAATAAATATCATCCTATATCAGAATTAATAAAATATAGGGATGATATGAATATATTAATGTATCCGTAATTTTTGTTGTTGAATAGTAACCCAAGGAGTTAATTTGGAGACTGTATACAGAAATGTAAAGGAGATGATGCATGCAACATTATTAGAAGAGTCTCGACGTGATTACGTAGGTGGAAATGCGACAGTACTTCTATTTCTTTTGAACTCAGGAAACATTCAAATCCCTAAAAATGTTATTGATGAAGCCAACCTAATAAATGTAACTGTTCCAGGTAAGTAAATAATTTACTGAACAAAAATCTCTTGTGAGTTTTAGTTATTATGAGGCACGATGCACTTGCTCGTGACATGACTTCAAGCAAACAATAAGATACAACCTCATCAGTGAGAAAGAGTGTGGATAGTGATAAAAAACATTGCATGCACCTATCAAAATAGTTACATGTCAGCCGGAGTTTGTCTTCGATTTTTTAAATACAAGTTCGCTGGGAACTATTACTACTTGTAAATTTATCAAAAAAATCACATCATAATAAAGAGCCTAATAATTAGTTAGTATTAAATAACACTATATTAACGTGTATAAGACTTTTATCGTCTGTATAGGGTGAGACAAAATCTATAATAGGAACTGAGGCGTGGTTTAATAAGTAATTTCTTTTGTTCTTTAAGATTTGAGGGTTATCTACGCGACTTCATCAAATCAGTTCGACAATTTGTACCCGTTGGTGAGGGACATGTACCGTGATATCCATACGATATCTTTAACGTCTGCTGGAACAAACGTAGAAACTGTTCTAACTCCAGTGTTGAACAATATTCGAGAAGGTATTTCTATGATTTTATTTAGATAACAATTATTCAATTTTTATTTCATTGTATTAATCGAGACAACATTCTTGAATTTTAGATAATATTATTGGTTTGAAATGTTTAAATATAAAAAAAAACTTTAAATATAGACAAGTAAGTCTACACATGAATCTTAATTGATTTTAATCTAATTCTGTACTAGGTACTCTAGAACATAAGCCAGAATACTGAGTAAACCTACAACAGTGTTGATTCGTTTTTAGAATTTAGATTATGGGTACTTATTACTATACACACACTAGTTACACTAATTTTATTTTCAGTCGGTAGACGAATCATCAATCCAGTTTGTGGAATCAGCTATGAAGATGATACTCTGAATATCAAATCGTTTCATGACTATATTGAACCCGGTTATATTAATTTCTATTCAGTAAGCCCTAATTACTTCTTTGAAAATAATGACGATAGAAAAGTAACAATAAGTCGCAGTAGTGGGTCAGGTAGTCTTACAATTTGTCATTCTCGTGCTGTACCTCAGCCAAGGTAAGTCAATAATGTTAATATTAATTATAAAAATTAAATTAAATTATTTTCATATAATATTAGACAAAATAAGCAGATATATTCGATCTCAATTAAAATATTACTAGTTTATACATATACATTGTTTGTATATATTAATGACAATGAAGTTGTCGGTCACCTGATTGTAAGCAGTAACCGGCGCCTGTACATGAACAGTACCATCACGTTATCATGTGCCAGTCGTGATATCATTCATGCGTTGCCATTGCAGAGGATTAAGATATAATGTCTCTTATCCTGTAATTTAATTTTTACTATTTTTAGAATAATAATTGATAACGGTGTATATGAATGACACTTTTCTTAGCTCAATTCTTGATATGAATCTAGACAATTAATTAACTCGTCATGAACCAGACCCGGTACTATGAACAGAACTGTAGTTGGGTATATGACAGATCAACAAAACAGTAACGTGCAAAATCGTTGCTTTTGTTTAAGGCGTCTTTATGCTTTGATGGAACTCCTACGTTCTTGATAAACTGCTTGATTATGGTAAAACAACAATTAAAAGTTTCGATCTAAGAACATGCAACATTGGACAGCAGGTCCTTATTTCCACAATGTGTGTGTTTTTTTTTACATATTATAAAAGTACATACCTACTATATCTTAAAGCGTGATTTTAACTAATAATCCAGCAGCAATAAATTTATGCTCATGTATCCATATACTGTATTAGTACCTAATCTTTAATTTTCAAGGATTTGGCTTATTCAGTAACACCTTGTTAAGTTGCCCAGCAGTTTTTTATGCCAGCTGTGGTACGAAGAGATAAGGTAGTTAAATTACAGAATAGGAGGCATGACATCTTATACCTTTGGAATGCACCTATGAGCGGTACCATGGGCGTCACATGATAACAACATGTCCGTAGTATATTGATATTGTCGTTACAATTACGTAAAAAAATACGTACCTATGTAATTAAGCAACTCTTTTTTTCACGTGTACTAAGTTAATTATAATAAAATAAGTAACAGATATAAATACAGTAGTTAATTTTAGACAAACAGCGACTACCACTAACTAACAGAGATTTCTTAATTTCGTTACATGTTATACTTATTTCTTCAAATCGCATCATAAGATAATGGACATTTTAGTGAAGTTGTTGCATTAGATAAAAAAATACTGTAAAGTTATATCGTATTGTCATTATTCCTTACTGACGACGACAATTAATGCACATTACTTTTTAGGAGAAATGCGACTATTGTGGGTCTAGACGAAAATTTAATAACGTGTCAAGACTTAACCTCTTCCGGTACTGTGGAAATAAGTCTGCAGAACGCCTGTGATGGATACGGTTCAATTGGATCGTGTCCATTATTTTACATTTCTGTGCAGTCCATAGCTGGTTCCGTTGCAAGTGCTACGTGTACTAGTAAGTATTTTATTGTATTATAAATTCATTGACATCAGTAACTTATAATAATATTTACTATAGTACTAAAGTAAGTGTAGCAATTATTTGAACATCAAATAAGAATATAACAAATATACCAATATACCAATATAACAATATTATTAGACTAGAATATACAGAGTACGGCCTCTGTGGTCTAGCGGTTTAGCACACCGCCTTACTTCCGATGGTTGCGGTTTCGATTCTACGCACAATGCAAGCTTTTCTATTTATGAACATGAGTGTTTGTGTTGGTCTGGATGTTTTTTGTGTATATTATATATATATGTATATATAGTTACCAAAAAAATGTATTAAGTACTAGCACAGATAACATAATATTACATACTAGTATTAGTAAGTACATCCATTAGTTGTCTGGTAAGAATAACACAAACAAACAATGAAAATGTCCTGGATTATTATTATTATTACATTAAATGTAGGAGTTTTCTGAATTGTTTACTTTGAAAAATTATTTTCTATATTGACCTGATCGAAAGATGCATTTATGCGAAGTGGTTCACAATACACTATACGAATGTTTGCCATTTGACTCACTATAAATAACATTGACCTACATACGTTTAGCTACGGCAGTTGACGATACCTCTGATTACCACATCTGGGGTAACAAACGTGAAGGTAGATTAGTATCTAAGTATTTTAAGAACCAAATAAAGTTATTACTGACAGAGATTAGAATAAGAACGATTAATATATTTATTTTTATTAATATTTGCATTATCACACTTCTATTCATATAATCTTTATTTATTTACAGGTAATACCGAATGTAGATTCCCCTACAACATGGTATATCAGATACAATTTGAACAGCCAGGTTGCTTCAGTAGCGGCACAAGTGTTGGAGCCAGCCTAATTTTCATAATATCAACCTTATTACTTAGTGTTTATAGATCATTGTAGTGGCAAATATACGAAAATATATTATGTAATTATAGTCATATTTATAGAATTTTAAATTGGAACTTAGGTCGTTCTAATTAACAATACCAACGATGTATTATAATATTTTTTTTATTCCATTAACACGTAGGTACAGTTTAGTCAATAATGTCGAGTAGGTACATGTCACATGTCGTTGCCTATTTGTATTTAATTTGAAAATTTTATTTACAGGGTAGCCACAAATATTTTAATGTATAAATAAGATTAAAGTGGTATTAATACAATAAATTATCGTCTTAAGTAAGATTTAGTATTTAAATCGCTGTGGATTTTTTTACCAATAAATTATAACTACCTATTTTGCATATTTTAATCCATATCAATTTTGGTAGGTACCTTTCCAATATGAAATTACCTAAATATAACTTTACTAGATATAAAATTAAACAGGAGGAAAACTGACTTACTATACCCATAGGCCAAAAGTACTTATAAGCCAGATGTTATCAAAGTTTTTAGAAGAAAAGATAAAGTCAATCCCAACTTCGCCAAATTCTTTCAAGTTCTCACCACATACCTAATCGAAAATTCGCTCTGAATTTTTGATACATACCTACTCTCGGGGATCATGATAGATATTATACGTCAATATGACGACAGTTTTTTAACTAAATGGTAGTAAAGGTAGGTAGGTATAGATAATAACACGTAAAAACTTCTCATAGCCTAAGTATAAATCTGCAAGATTTTCTATAAATATTATTTATTTTTACATAACTTCAGTTCCAGTGTATAGGTAGGTACATAACAATTTTAATGGAAAAATATTCTAAATAATGAATAAATTATTTTTGACGATTATTTTGTCTTAATAACTTTAAATTAATTCGTTAACATTGGTTAAAAATTTTGAAACTATGTAATTACCTACAGAAATCTCGATTTATAAATATTTATGATTTTAGAAAAAACTGTAGCACGATGTATAGCTCACATTATTTTTCATATGCCTACTGTAAAGATTCTGAAAACGTATTCTAAAACCTATTATTAATACTACATTCAGTTAATTCTGTGTTTGTAGAATTTTGTAGCATGTATGTGAACCCATACCTACGTCATTACATGTTTTTGAATATTGAGTAAAAACTGTTACTTTTTGATAAGCATTTCGTTTTCATTATTAAGTGATTCAACTAATAAAAAGAAGCAGTTACCTAATATTTTCTATTAAGATAAGAATATCCTTGTACCTTTATATTAAAATATAAGTGCCTAATATCTAAATAAGAGACATGGAGAAAAATAGTAACAATGGCATAATCCCCCTAGGATTGACGATATTATTGTGATAGGTAGATGTAAAGATTTGAATAATTCGCAAACCATTCCCATATATCCTATAGATATTTCTGCATTTAATTATCATAAAAATCTTATTTTAATAAACTAGTAGCATGGCTAATGGCAACACAAATCGCCACGCCAAAAAATGAGGAAAAAAAATAACTAGTAGCGAAATCGATAGTATTGAAATGGTAACACTGAAACTGTCAATTCTGATATAGATATACTGTCATTTCTGTCGAAAGTGTCAAATTTGTCAAATAAATACTTGTTAATTGTTTGTATATGTTTTCGTTGTAGAATTTAATTGTATAATTTGAAATGTCTGGAGAAGATTGTGATGTAGATCGTGGCGATAGTGATGGTCAAAAATCTGATAAAATGTTTACATTGAAAAAATGGAATGCTGTAGCAATGTGGAGTTGGGACGTTGAATGCGACACTTGCGCTATTTGCCGTGTACAAGTGATGGGTAAGTAATATTTATCTGAACTTCATGCTACCTAAAAATAGTCAAAATAAGGAAATGTTAATACGCTTTAATACTGAAAGTCGTCAATGCTTTGTTTTCATCAACAAAATTTAAGTTTGTGTCATTAAAAGTACAGCAAACTTTTTATTTATATTCTTCGTTCTTTATTCACCATCTAAAAGTAAGTTCTTGCTCCAGTGAAATAATGGCATAATTCTAAAAGTCTATATAATTGTATATATTTTAAAATATATTTATTCAGTCCTTTTTCAACAATGTAAAACATAAAATAATCATTTTTTACATACATATAGGCACTGAAATGGCTCCACCTGTATCATCTGTTACATTTTATTCAAACATAATTTGTGGTCCTAGATAGTGAAGTGAAGAAGTGCCTAGATTTCTGGCCTTCAGTGTTGACGACTATGGTGGTCTAGCGGATTGGCACACCGTTTTACTTCTGATAGGTACAAACTTTTATATTCATGAATACAATTGTTTGTATTGGTCTAGGTATTTTCTCTGTATGTAATTACGAAAAACAACTGTGCAACTCCTAATATCAATAAGCATGGATTTAAATAAGTACTCTTGCCGCACAGTACATATTAGCAGTAATTTGAGAAAAACAGTTTTGAGAATATTGCTCTTAAATTTTAGACTGTTTTACACAACATTTTGAGTTTTTTCAGTAGTTAAGAGTGGAAGAATAGTAATGAATGGACATTCATCATTCATTACTCTTAAGTACTGAGAACAAGCTTCAAATAGTATAGATATACATCTATTATTAATCTTAGTGTAAAATATGATGTTTTATTTATTTAGAAACAATAAATGGGTAAAATATTTAAATAAATTATAACATTGCATGCTAATAAACTAATTATTTACTTGATATGTTGTCATCTATGAATTTGTCTATCCTGTCCTAAGGCTTTCTTACGCAAAAATTGTTTAGTATAAGATTTAAATTGCCTCTTTGTCAGATTTAGTGCAGATTCTGGCAGTTTCTTATAAAATCTTTCGCAATTACCATAGAATGAATTACTGACTTTGTGCAGACAGCATTTAGGTAAAATTAGCTTATTTTTATTGCGTAAGTTTCTACTTGTACAGTCTATAAGTTTTTTAAAAATCTCTAAATTCTTCCATGTATACATGATATTTGATTCTTTAAAGAACTGACGTAATGACTTTCTTGAACCGATACCATAAATAGAATGTATGGCTCTCTTTTGTAAAATAAATATAGTAAATATATATATTTGACAAAATGAAAAGCAAAAACCTTTTCTCTTCTCTTACTTAGTTTTTTTATTGGGAAACAAAAACAATAATTAAATATATTAAATTCTTAAATAGAATCAGATCATTCTGTAAAATCATTGAAAATTTTATATTCACAATTATTATAATATTAAATAATTATATTCAGTTATGCCATAAGTGAGATATAATAAACAAACTACGCCATGTTTATATTTTTAAGAAATAATGGTAGATAAAATGAAAAAATAACTAGAACAAAATATTATTATGTTAACTGTTAATTATTATTAATTTTGTCTGTTCTATTTTTAATCAACTGATCAATGAAAATGAGCTGAGATAATTTATTACGCAATGCAACTTAAACAAAAATAGAATATATTATTTCTATGACTAATATTCTATTATATTATGGTACTATTAAATAACACATTTTAATCTCAACATTTCATGAATCTTCTTTGAGCTCTATGTACTTCAGAATTTGTGTTTTTTTAATTTCGAGTTGTTTAAATTAACATCCATTTGGCAATGGTTTAATATTTGCTATAGAACTCAACCTACGTGTTCTGGTACTTGGTTTACCCAGCATTTTATTTTCTATCTGTTCAAGACTCTTACCACGAGTTTCAGGTACACACACTATGACAAAAAATAACCCAGCAAAACAAATGCAACCAAAAAGCCAAAATGTACCGGCTGGACCAATCCCGTCAAGAATATTTTGAAACGTTTTTGTTACTGTGAATGTACATAACCAGTTAAAAGCAGTACATATTGAGGCAGCAGCTCCTCTTATTTTTGCTGGTAATATTTCTCCCATCATAAGCCACGGTATAGGACCAAACGCCAATGAAAATCCTAATAAATAAACCATTAAACACGTCAAAGGCAACCATCCCAAAGAGGAGACATCTAATTTCATATTATTCTGAACATAAAAAAAAGTTCCTAATACGACTAAAGTAACAGTCATAGTAACGGATGAAATATACAATAAAATTTTTCTTCCTGCTCTATCAATAAGTGCCGTAGCTACAAATGTGGATGCAAAGTTAACAATTCCAACTATTATCGTTGATAAATTCTCATCTATTGTACTTCCTGACATCTTAAATATAGATACAGTATAAAATATAACGGCATTTATTCCAGACAACTGTTGGAAAGTCATAAGGCCTAAACAAATTAAAATTGATTTCATGTATTTCATATTAAATAGGTCTTTTATGCCTGACTCACTTGCTTCAGTTTCTGCATTTATTAAAGCTATGTCGCGCATTTCGTTATCAATTTTAGTATTTTTCCCACGGAGCCATTGTAAAACTTTGCGGGCATCTTCATTACGTCCACGAGATATATACCATTGTGGAGTCTCCGGGATCATAAACATTAGAAGGAAAAACGGTATAGGCAAGGCGGCACCCAGGTAAGCAAGTTGAGACCAATCGAGATATTTACCGGCAAGATAGCAAATCAAAATACCTATGTTACCGATAGCCGTAGGAAAAAGTCCCAATGTTCCTCTAACTTCTGGTTGAATCGTTTCCCCGAGATATACAGGGAAAGCTAACGATCCAACGCCAACACATAGGCCGCATACCACACGACCCGCTAATATTAAATGCACAATGTTTGCACTGGCTATAAGAATCCATCCAATAAAAAAAGGTGGAGCAGTAAATAAAATTGTCCTACGTCTTCCAATATAATCAACGAGAGGTCCGCCCACGATTCCGCCTGCAAGCGCAGCCAGGGGCATCAAACTGCCCACCCAGCTTGCCTGTTAATTGAAAAGTCGTTGTCAGGAGTGTAAACGAGGCATTGAAATAACACACTATTTCAGAAGCAATTGAAAAAGTAATATCTATGAATCATTACTAAAAACGGCACTGGTTGTAAACAAACGTCATGCATAAGATTCTCATTGAAAAATTAAGTTAGCAGAATAGAACTGAGTATGAAGTGGATAATGTTTTTTATTGGTACATTTTTGATAATTTAGGTTCGGGCACTATTATCTACTGTTATATGTAGACTTTTGCTTAATTGTGCCAATGTACCATATTGACGTTGTAATGATCATAATGCTGCATAAAGTACATCGCAAATAATTAAATTAAATATGGAACAAATAATTATGGATATACACTTGTACTTAGTACTTCTATTAGCATATATTCATATATACTATTAGTCTATACATTCGCTGAATATATATATATATATGAATACCTTCAGCGAATGTGTAGACCACATCCTGCAACTTACTTCTTCTTTTGATATTGATATCGTAGTGCTGTTTTCCATAGTGACCAAAGCCGGCGATGTGTATGCGGAGGAAAAACCAATTATCATGGAACCCATAGAAACAGCTATTGCCGCTAACACCTGCAATATAAATTACATTGCAGACATTTCCACCTCTTCTGTATTTTAAACTATAATAAACTAGTGTTGACTGATCTAACTGTTTCAAGAATATTTATTTGGCTAGTTAATAGTGTTCCGAATTTATATATAAAAAATAATTCCTGTAGAGCATTGTGGTATGCAGGCAGACTGCGCCATATTCAACTATTCGGTACGTGGAATTAAAGTATTTATGTATAATAATATTATAAAAGCCCTATCAATTTTCAAATGTATTAAGAACTGATACTACTATCCTACTCATATCATCTTAATAATATACACGTAAACTGCGTAGATACATATGCGAGTAATTAAATTGTTTTCACGTTGTCATTGCGTCGATGGCGTTTCGTTTGACGTTGTTTGCTGGAAGGTGTGGCGCGATACGCCTACAATTAATCTAAACAATCGTCTGCCTTCCATGTGTCGTCTGTCCAATTGTCAGTTGTTTATAATAATAATCTCAGGACAATTTACAAAGCGCCATCTAGACCCAAGTTAAGCTAGCTAAAGCTTGTGTTTTGGTTATGGGTACTAGATAACTGAAACAAATACATAGATATATTTTTTTTCGTAAATACATACATATTATACATAGAGAACACACAAACCAACACAAACAATCATACTCAGGAATATAAATATATGTGTCGTGCTAATCGAAGCTGCGACCATCGGAAATAAGGCGATGTGTTATACCGCTAGACCACCGAGATCGTCGCGTTTATAATAATGGATATTTAATATTTGATTGTAATGGAACGTGTAACATAAATATGAATGATTTTATTAAAGGATTTTCATGTACTAACGGTTTCCAACTACTGTTCTCCATAAACTGATAACGTAAAAACCATGAAGAATTAAAAATGCATGAACGCGGTACATGACAGATTAAAAACCAAAACACTTATTGGTATAAGTTGATTTTTTTTTGTTTTACACCTTGGTACTGCTACTAGTGTGATGTAATTGCCTTTTAATATTAGAATAAGTGCATAAACAAATAGCATTTAATACAAATATGAAGTCAAATCACCTAACTGTTGTAAATTAATTTCTTCATGTTTATTGGGCTCAATTGACAACCGTCACATTGGTGGATGTGAAACAATGATCCTTATTGCGAATGCGTTTGTTCCAATGCTTTTATATCACAGAATTTATTTAAATCGAAAAATACTTTTAATTTAAAATTACAATGTATGTGAAAATTTCGCACCTGTGTAAAAGTATATTTTGGTTCCTCGTAGTCGCTGCTTCTAACGCCTATGCTATAATGCGTGTCTGCTCTCATTAAAATCTTCATGTTTATGGTTGTCTATATCACAGTTCGGTTCATTCAATACTGGACTGCACTGGCTAAGGCTTGGTTCGTAACTGTGCCACAAGTTGTGCGAGTACACCATAAGCTACTGAAGAAATGCGTGTCTCTCACTACACTAGCAGCAATTTATATAGGCACAAATTGATTGGCCTCGAGATTTGATTCAAAACAATGTCTCTGAAATGGTTCAAGAAAACCATGATTTCAGTTAATTACTTGCATCCGCTGATTTTTTTAACTTTAGTGTGTAAAGTTAGTATTTTATTTAAGTGCAATTCAAAAACATAAGTAGTCTATGTTATTTCTAATAATTTTAGCTGTCTACGAGTGAGTCCAAATTAAATCAGCTGTTTCAGAGATTAGCAAGAACAAACCGGCAAACAAAAAATGTATGTATATATATATTTAGTGAAAAACTAGTAAATTGAAATTATAAATTTTATTTACTTGTATAGATTCTGGCATTATCTATCTATAGAGGAGACCGGGATAGATGACCAATGAAATAGTCATAAAAATATGCTATTAATTTTTTTTATTGAATCCTAGAGGCGATATTCTGTTACTTCAATTAAAAACAATAAATTTAAAATTATAAGAATAAACAATTATATCTTTAAGCATTAGACAATTTGAGAACCTAAAAATAAACAAGGTACTTTTTATTTAGTGTTTATAACATCTTATAAACTTTAAACTTTCTTTCGATAACAAGTACCTAATCATATTTATTATTTGGTAATAGCCTTGATGTAAGTATATATTTATATAAATATAAATACATACTTCGGGATGTATTTATATTTAGCTTTGGAGTGTTTTATACGTTACAGAAAACAGTTTCACCGTACATTTAATACTTGTTGTTTTTGTCAAAGATAACTTTTTGACATGCTTTATCTCTTATATCTTTGGGTGTACTTTCTCTATTAATCTTTGTTTTATATTTCGCATTTCGAAACAACATTTTTTGTATAAAATTTCAGAAATATCGCTTTATTTTATGTGTGAAATATCCAGGAATATCCATAATATTGTGACCACCTGGTCAATCAGCCTGGCCCTGCATTTGTCTACTAGCCCCGAACCACCTTTTAATTTTTACCACGTGCCATAAAATCGAAACTGCGACGAAAGCAAACAGAATAACACATAAGAGAAGTAACATGAATCAAACATACATATATTATAAATAATAATAATATGAGGACAATTCACACTCGCCTTCTAGATGGCGCAGTGTGAGTCACAAGTTAAGCTAGCTAAAGCTTGTGTTATGGGTATTAGATAACTGTTATAAATACATAGATATATTTTTTCGTAAATACATACATATCATACATAGAAAACACCCAGACCGATACAAATAATCATGAATACAAAGGTTTATGCCGTGCGAGAAGTCGAATCCGTGACCATTGGAAGCAAAGCGGTGTGCTAAACCTCTAGACCACCGAGGACAATTAATAACCATGAATAAGTAGGCATTATTACCAGTACAGTAGGTATGTTCCATAGACAACGCATACGTGATGACACCAAATGCATGCATTATAAACAATAGTTTATAAACAAATTGCGAATCGATCGCCACGCGTCGTTTATTACATACTCGTGTACCATCCTCCGATTACAATTAACCATGTGTCTAAAGTAGGTATGTAATATCTACTAGAGCCTGAATTTTGAAATGCCAACAATATTGCATACAAGCTGCCCCGCGCAACTTCATCTGCATCACACTTACTTAATATTTATCATTATATTTCGCCCAATTTATATTATAATTTTTTAAATTATAGCCTATGTATTATTCTGATATATATATTTTATTTAACTTTGAAACTTTTCAGTAATATAACCGATATTAGATACTGTAAAGTTTCATAAAAATCTGGTGGTAGTTTTTTCGTGAAAGAGTAACAAACATCCGTCCACATTCAAATTTTTTTGTGTTTATAATAAAAATAATATATTGATAGTGGAGCATTTAGCTAATGTTCAATTTTGTATTAATTAGTACATGTTACCAGTACTTCGTCCGCTACGACGAACTTATTTTTTTATATACAAATAATTTTTCTAACATTAAAATGGCCTAAGTTACTCCTTATAATAACCTTAGCTATCTCGGAGTGAAAGTATCTAAAAGGGTATCTAATACGATTTAAACACTAACAAGAACTAACAAACAAGAAATGCAGGTAATTTTTTTTTTATTTAAGGTATATGAATTGAAAATGAAATGAAAACACTTTATTGTTCCTCTCACAGAAAGAAAAATTACATAAATTAATATGTACATCAAATATAAAAAGAAAAAACAACATAATTATAATATAGAGGTAACAATGGGCGGCCTTATCGCTAAATAGCGATTTCTTCCAGGCAACCTTAGGATGGAGAGGAGTCATTAGACTGTGTCTGGTCGAGGTATAACAATTAGTTATTACAATTTACATATCATATACACATACCTACATATAGCTACATAATAATCACTATATATATATATATATATATATATATATATATAATATACATACATGCATATATATACATATAAATAAATAAAATAATAATATCTATACAATAGTGACGTTACTGTGAAGATAAATTTCGTGAATAATATTTTTTAACGCTCGATTTAAAGATACCTACTTTCATATGAATTTAGTGATACGCTGATAATTTAAAATGTCAAACAGACAGTTTTATTTATTTGTATCTACAGATAGAAGAGACTTTCCATGTTACCTTAAAAGTGAAATTATCTTATTTTGTCAGTGAACAGCAGTGGGTTGACGCTAATGACAACTCAATAACGAAATTCACCCATTACAGGCTCTGTGTCTGATCATACATTACAGCCTCGGTGGTCTAGCGGTTTAGCACACCTCTACTTCCGATTATCGCGGGTTCGATTCCTCGCACGATGTAAACATTTCTATTCATGAGTGTATTTTTTTGTATTGGTCTGGGTGTTTTGTATGTATGTATTTACAAAAAAAAGTATTTATAATAGTTGGGTGAAACCCATAACACAAGCTCAGTAAGGGACTGGATGGCATTGTGTGCATTGTCCTGAGATATTATTATTGTATTCCAACAGTGACCCGCGGCTTCGCCGGCGTAGCATATACGTTATTCTGGTGTAATAAGCTATATTACTGTAAATTTTCATCAAAATCCGTTAATTGTTTTTTAAAATTAAAATTTCATTATTTTTATTTTCTTAATTTTATTTAATTTGTATAGCTCGATTGTTGTTTATATTTAAAGTACTTAATTTGCTTAATTTATAATTACTGATAAACACCTGTAATAATGTAAATGCATTAAAACAGGGTATAAATATTTTATATAATTTCTAAAATAAATAGATTATATTTGTTTTACAAATCTGTAAAATTACTTGCACAAAACTTTTTCTAGTTTTTTAGTTTAGTTTTGTATTAACTAGATTGAATCTAACATTATTATGTTGTTGCTGGCAGCTTGTCTATCATTCTTTTTATAAACTTTATATTTTTATATCTATTTTTATACGTCACTTTTGACTATAATATATTGTTTTGTTACTTCTTGCTGTGAGCCCTTTTTGGGAAGAATACACATTTTTGCTAATATTTGGATTTTATTAAAATAGTAGTTGTGTTCCCGCTCCAGTAACAATGTAATTATCTCAACGGTTTTTGGTAGGAAATAAAAGAAAGAAATTGCTTTATATTTTATATTAATAAAAATATTAACAAAACAATAAATATCACCGTAATATACGGATTAAGGTTTAATAAAATACAATTAGAACAAAGCAGTAATTTAACCTAAAATATTTAACTATATACATTTGGTAGTACAAACTAGATATCGATTTGTCATGATAAAAATAAAATTTAGACTATACATTCAGATCACAATTATTTATGGGGATACACGTTCTGCAATGTTTGCTGTCATTCCCGAGATTCCGCGTAAACTAGTGTTGAGACCACCACTTATGGATATAGGTCCCGCAGTAAAAGTCCGTCCAAACAGATGAAAATGGCCACATGAAATGATCACAATATATTACTTTGGTGCAATATTCTGTACTTTTGTATTGTTTGAATTTGCCTCATTTTTGTGGCCATAACCATACTACTAAAGAAAATATTTAAAAAAATATGAATATATTTGAAGGAACCATTATTTATCATATTTTACAACGTTAAATACCTATATTTCTATACACTATATTTACAACTAGAGAATTCATTCAATCCATATCAGTCTTTATTATGTAAACACTGGCCGGCAGTGTTTTACCTAATTGCGATTCACTCTTATAAGACTAAAACAGCACAGCTTTTACGCAGCCTCTTCATTCTGGAATGTGCATTATATGTATTTACATACTAGCAGTACCCATTACTACATCACCGATCACAAAATGCATATAATATGATAATATCATACCATCCATATAAAGAGAACTGGCCCAATGTCATCATTGATAATATTATATACAGACTATTACAATTACAGTATCCACAATCAATATATTTATTAAATAATATTGAAAGTTAACAGCCATTTTGACCTGATTTTACAGTACTTATATTTCGTATTCTCCTACCACCGCCTGTAAGTTTTAATTCAATTTCCTCCAAACTTTTACCACGTGTTTCGGGTACAAAGAATATAACGAAAAATAGACCTATTAAACATATGACAGCAAACATCCACAGGGTGCCATGCATGTCAATAGCTTGGCTAATACTGTGAAAGGTTTTAGTGACAATAAAGGCACATGTCCAATTTAAACCAGTTGCCAGAGCTGCAGCAGTACTACGTATTTTCGACGGTAAAATTTCGCCTAGCATGAGCCATGGAATTGGACCAAAACCAATTGAAAAGCCTAGCACGTATATAACAAGGCAGGCTAGTGGCAACCACCCATATGCTGTAACATCTACTCCAGTAACCTTGACATAACAATAAGATCCTAATGTTATTAAAGTTATAATCATTGATATTGATGAAATATATAATAAAATTTTTCTTCCCAGTCGATCTATAAGAGCTGTTGCTATAAACGTTGATATGAAGTTTACGAGGCCAATGATGATACTTGATAAGTTCTTATCAATACTGCTTCCAGACATTTGGAAAATGGTTTCAGCATAAAATATGACTGCGTTAATCCCACTAAATTGTTGAAAAACCATCAATCCCAGCGATATTAGGACAGCGGGTATAAATCTTTTGTTAAAAAGCTGTCCGAATACGTTACCCCGTACAAGATTCGAATCTGCTTGAAGTCGTGTAAGATCTCGCATTTCTTTGTCAATATTTGTATTTTTACCCCTTAACCATTGAAGAGTCTTACGCGCGTCTTCTACGCGTCCTTTCGTAACATACCAACATGGTGTCTCTGGGGTCAAGAGCATTAGCAAGAAAAATGGAATAGGTAGCGCTGCGCCAAAGAATGCCAAATTTGACCAGTCTAAGTAGCTGCCAACGATGTATGCCAACAAAATTCCTGTGTTACCGAAAGCTGTGGGCAGTAATCCTAGTGCTCCTCTAACTTCAGGTTGCAACACCTCTCCAAGATATACAGGAAATGCAAGAGATACTATTCCCACGCAGATGCCGCCCAGTGCTCGACCAACGAGCACCATAGAGACAGTATATGCGTTAGCGATCAGCATCCAACCGATGAAGAATGGTATAGCAGTACCTGTTATTACCATACGTCTTCCTAGGTATTCAATGAGTGGACCTCCTGATATGCCGCCTACTAAAGCAGCTAGTGGCATTAATCCACCTACCCAGCTTTTCTGAAATAAAAAAAAGCTACCTTTATTATTTCGTTCTCAGATGTTAATATTTATTTATATGCAATGAAATGAGCTATATTACAAAATAAATAATATTTACTAGCTGAGATTGCGACTTCGTAGACAGGTATTCGAAATAAAGATACTTTATAATTATACTCTTTTGTTTTTAAAATCGATTGCAATAAAACAATTGCTTAATTTTAGATCAATCTATTTTTGAGATTAGAAAACGCATAGACAAAGAAACAAAAATTTTGATAATACTTTTTGTTTGGGTTTTATTACGATGATAAAGACCCTAATACTAGTCGTTCTACTACATATACCTTGTACTAATAATTTTATTGAATTTATATATTTTTTACTTGTATCGAATAATTTAATTTGAGTCTAGGTAGTATACAAATAGCATAGTAAATATACAGCGTTACCGTTATTACATTCTTAACTGTCTATGTATACATTATAATGATTAATTTTGATATCATTATCATAATTTTGAGTAACGTACCTCCTCAATTGTTATGTTAAATGTTCCGTTAATGTTCGTAAGTGCAGGAGAAGTGTAACCGGATGAGAACCCAACTATCAAAGAAAAAAAATTTTCCCACTTTTTGGGACTTTTTTCCAAAATTAACCCAAAATCGGGGAAATTTTTCATACCAGGATAATCCCATTGAAACTGCAAACAGCAAATTGCGTTGAGTCAAAAACGAAAAAATTTTTTTTTCCCACTTTTTGGGACTTTTTTCCAAAATTACCCAAAATTCGGGGAAATTTTTTATCGCAATACTGAGAGTAGCCATCATCTTGGAATCTGTAATAAAAATAATATAATAATTAAAATCATATTACATATACGAGTTTCTGTTTGAATAAAGTACAAATACCTTTCCTATGCCCGACAATCGGTGTCGCCAGCACCCCCGCAACTATGGAGGATTTTCATTTATGTCGTACCGCTTGAAGTTATTTTTGGCGTATTTGTTTTATGTCAACATTCCACTCCACTTTTGTTTTTAAAATCGATTGCAATAAAACAATTGCTTAATTTTAGATCAATCTATTTTTGAGATTTAGACAAAGAAACACTTTTTGTTTGGGTTTTATTACGATAACCTAATACTCCTAATAATTTTATTGAATTTATATATTTTTTACTTGTATCGAATAATTTAATTTGAAAGGTTACCGTTATTACATTCTTAACTGTCTATGTATACATTATTGAACTTGGACAAATGTTTTAAATGTTGTTAATGTTCGTAACAAATGTAATAAAAATAATATAATAATTAAAATCATATATACTAGACGAGTTTCTGTTTGAATAAAGTACAAATACCTCGTAGTTACAGCTGGACAAATGTTTTGAAACAGGTTGTATACCTACAGCTAACAAAGGTTGAGAAGTTACGTGGGTAGGAAATACTTTTGTTTGCAGCTGTACAGGATAGGGTCAATCAAGATGTGAGTGCGAGAAACTTATGGGTATAAGAAAGAAAATTATTTTACTACCACGTGCATAATTATTATATGTACGTTACCAATTGTCATCACTAGTCCGGATGTACGAATATTTTGTATAGTTTCGAATTAGCTCTATTTACCCAATTATTGGTTGAAATACTTTTATCAAAGTGGTGCAAAGACGTAATTTACATTATTAATTAATTAATTTACTTACACACCTAAATTATGTATTTTCCACGGACTATTATAAGGAGTCGTCCCTTCAATGTAGAATGTATGTAGCGATAAGGTACTCACTTATTGTTATTGTCTACATTGGAAAGACTGTTCCTTATAAATAGTCTGTGGATAAGGCTCAAACTCGCCTGTGGATCAGATTACTGTTCGCCAATTATTAAAGTCATGATATTAAATATTAATGGGAAAAAAGAGATGAAATGCTTACCTGTGTCCAAAGAAATAATCGCTTTGTTGTAGGTCGAGACACATCATCCCCATTGATAGTATGATCATTTTTAACTTTATTGCTGTTTATGCTAAGCTGCTTCACATATGGGATAGAATTTCTTAAATTTTCGTCCTTAATTTCCATTTCCATTTTATATTTAAACTCGTTTCCTAAGCTGATTTGTCGTAATTGTTGAAAGTGACGACGAGTAGCCTCAAAGGAATCTTCTTCTTCGCTACTACTTTCTGTAGTATTCTCAGGAATTGTTGCGTAGTTCGGAGCGAGCGTTCCTTGCGAGCCACATGAGGTTGCAAGTGAAGTACTAGTAGTGGAAGCAGAAAGCGTTGGGCGTGATGGTACTCTTGCGTATTTAGGGCCACGGGAACGATACAATCGTTCCTCGTCGCCTTGCCCCCGCCGATTTTGCTCACTTCCACCCTGGAAAATTAAAATTCCTATGTAAATACTATTTAATTCTCAAGTACTATGGATATCTGTAATTTAATTGAACTGTAAAAATGATTAAATGAACGTATAAACAACCAATTGGATAGAGAAGAACTGGTCACTCAAGCACACATGATATCCGATACTGAAGTAGCATACCGTAAACATACCCCATTTATTATATATCCGCTATCTAATATGCGTAAACCAGCAATGATAAGAGGTGTGACCTGAGGGAGTATGGGTTAAACACAGAGCATACATCGCTTATTGAACACAAAGTATCATAAGGTCACAGCATGCTACTGATAACCTAATCAATGAGATGTGAACCTTGGCCTTACAACGAGCAAATTTTTGTCTTAGCGCCTTCACATAATATTGCGAAGTTATTTTCGCACTTATACACAAAACAATACTAGTGGAGCATTTTATAGATATCGAAAACTGTTAGTGGCAAGTTGCGAGACCGTGCTACCGTCTATATCCGATGTTCTTGGCGTTATCGTACCATCACAACTTCGCGCGTCGCTCAGTAGTAATAATGATGTTTATAAAACATATTGTATAAACATGTTTGCCATACATTGAACCAGTGTTTCTTCAAGGCACTCCATCGTCTATGTTTACTGTAGATAATGTTTTTCTTTTATTTGTGCTGACTACTCAAATAATTAATATGCATCTATTTTCTCGAACCAATAATTGAAAGTATTATAATTTTTGTTCATTTTATTACTGTTATAATTTCTCGTTTAATAGCATGTCTTGTAGTTCTTGTTTGTGTACTATATGGCACATTCGCAATAATATCATGTCATAATGTCATGTTATCTTTATAATAATTTGTGTTACAATTTTGACAGGTATTTTTTAGGGTTCTTAGTCAATATTGCAAAACGTACTTTTATGTTGCCATTTTTCTGTCTGCCTAAGACTGCGTCATATTACAGGAACTACTAAAGTTATTTGCAACAGGGTTTTGAAATTCAAAGAAAATCTATAATTTTGAGTAGTGTAGCTTATAAAGGAGGTTTATATGTACAGTTCGAAATCGGTTTTTAGATCTTGATAATTTAATATGTAAACAAATTGTAATCATTGAACGAAAACAAAAACGACTGTTTCCAATATTTGTTCGGAACCTGTATGCGTTACTCGTTTACTCGTTATTTTCTACTTTTTTTAGAACGCATGCAAACTCGACTATAGAACAAGTGATTTACTGCGGAACTACATTCCCGCTGATTACTAATAAACTGTACAATATGATTTTTTAAGGTAAATTATAGATTATAGATTGAAGGTAATTACCACTGATTTATTAAATTATTATTATTATAATCAAATTTCCCTATGGATAAGTTAGGATAGGCAGGTGACTCTATCCTATGCGTTATTATTACATTTTTTTAAAAAGTCAGCAATAATTCAGTATTGGCATTGGGTATGGAATACCTGGTTTAATAGGGGTTCGTACCTATATCAACCACCTGGATCTGGTGGCGAACGTCTACTATTTTTTCCCCCAATTTTGTGGTAATATATAGTTTATTTAAAATTCCACAAAACTTAGTTTAAATTCCCAAAAACCCTTATTATGAAGATTTCGTGATCAAAGCTGAGTTTGTTAATAAACTAAACAGTTTTTTCAAATATATGCCGCGGCTTGGAACTTAGTTCATTCAATAATTTTACTGTATATAATATGCATAATGAGTAATTTTATTAATTAGATTTTATGAAATTAGTACTAAGATATTTGATGTGGTAATTTATAATATGTGACCATGAAGGTAGATTGAAATGACGTGACGGCCTGCCTCAATGCCGCCGGCAGGTGCAATAACAGGTGACAGTATTGCTCTTGCTGTATTTACATAACCTACACCAACCGAAATCACACAGCATTGCGAGTCTTAGTCTATTTTATAGAAATTACATACACGTTAACGCTTTGTTAAGTTATAGTTTTATGTTACTGTTGTTTTATAAAAGTATTATTGTACCAAAATCTTGTTCTAATGAACTCCTATAATACGTAAATATGTAATGATTCAACATTACATACTTATTACAACAATGTTTCTCAATCTGAGGTCGCGACCCTTTGGGGGTCACGTATAAAATCCTACGAAATGTCCTACAATTTATGTATATATATAATATTTGTAGTAAAATACATACTTAATACATTTGTGACAATAATAAATTAAACAGAACAAAATTTTATTCATTTTATATAAAAAACTAAATAATAAGAGTGTATTCATTTAGCATTGAATTATATTTAGGAAATTTAAGAATTTTTTTGTACTTATAATTCACCATTGCAGAAGCTACAGTAAATTGTTTATTGATTTACACGATCTATATAAATAAGTTTATTTAAATAGAAAGTTTATTCAATTAGAAAATATAGTTCAACTTAAAATACCTATAAACAACTACTTAAAAATTATTCGATTTTCCCACACAAATATCGTTATACAAGATTTTTACATCATGAATGTATAAGAAAGGATAATTCAGTAATAGCGCCATCTGGTTCAAGTCACGTGTAACATAAGCTAAAGTAAGTGTGCTATAAGTAAGTTCTCGTATGATTAGTACGTAATACTTTTTAACACAACCGAATAATTTTATGAGTATTTTCTTTTCTTGGAAAACACTTATTTAGACAAAAGTAATGTACACTATAGCAATATTATTAAACAATATGCTAAAATATTTTTACAAAGAAATATTAAGTGAGTAAGAGTCAAGCAAACTTAGTTCAAATATATATATTAGTTACCGTCAGATGGCATTAGTTGTAATGCTGTTTGCATTATTCATATAGAGATTAAACCTACGATATAAATGAACATTTGATAAAAAATGTTTAATCTATAATATATCAGCTGTATTATAGTTAATCTGTGATATTTGCTGTTTCAGTTTTTACAATATCTCTTGCTAAAAAAACTAGTTAAAAATAGATACTAGTGGTTACCAGGTACAACCAACCTACTACCACTATCACAGTCCGGAGCAGTGGGAAACTAGCGGCATACCGTATCTTGCTTCGTTCTCGAGCTTTCCTAACCGTAAGTAAGTAAGATAATTCCAGAATGTTTTCGAAGATTTTAACTATCAGTTCGAAATAACATTCATGTGCACTATAATTTGTAATTAATTCAAGAAAAAATGTTATTAATTGTATATGTAAGAATGTGGTCCTAATGTACTGAAAATGATGTTTTTAAAAATTAAACTATATAAATGTAAGGACCTTAAATCAATTTATTTAACTAGATATGGGACTTATAAACATACCATTTCAGTGGAAATCTGCTTTATGTATCCCATTATTTGCTGGTAGGGATTGGGGTTATTCTTATTGAAACTCATCTTGAAATCTTCGTTTTTGCACTACTTTTAAATTTTTTCTATTCAAGTTTATTACGAATCCAGTGTTTTCAGTTCACGTGCAAATCGAACACTTCACTTTAAACATTACACAAATTCAGAAAGTTACTAAAAACTTCGGCTTGACGTGCCTATTAAAAGTTTATATGCTAATAGAATACTGTATGTTTATGTTGGTCACTTAAACATTTCCTATTAGTTATTAATATTTCGTTTTGACAAAATTATATTTCGCGCCGCAAACCTGCAATGATGCACAACATTCAACTTTAACAGAACATACACAACGAACGATAATGTGTTGGCAGCAGGTACCGAGTTCAAAGCGTTCAAATTGTCTATTGAAACTCCAGATGGCAGGCCAATCTTATATATATAATTGTTGCCTCCTCGCCCCACTCACTCTCAACTTGTTATGGTGTGAGTTACACACACATGCAGTACTTAATAGTATACCTGTGATAATGTGAGTTTTAATTCTATATAGATTACATACGCTGCTCTTTCGATGTTGTTTATAAATGAAGTTACTTACATAAGCATATACATACTTATTTGAGTAATATTTATTTATTTATTAAAACTTTGCATTCCATAATTTTACAGTAGGGAGATAGGTATATTTCAAAGTAGGTTAATTATGGACCCTGTTGGGCACAGTAAGCGGAAGAGAAGAGAGGAGGACGAGTTATTTTTTAATTAATTTTAATGAATGAATAGTATTATATATAACTAGCTGTACGCGCGATTTGTCGCGTGTGGAATTTAACTTTATTTTTCTAAAATAAAAGTAGCCTAAGTTACTCCTTATTACATTAGCTACCTCCCAAAAAAAGTCCCGTCAAAATCGGTCCAGCCATTTCAGAGATTAGCCGGAACAAACTGACAGACAGACAGAGAGACAAAAATTGTAAAAAATGTTATTTTGCTGTATGTACCGTATTTATATTCATATGCTACATGCATAGGCGTAAAAGGCGGTTATTTCAATATTACAAACAGACACTCCTATTTTATTTATATGTATAATAATAATAGTTGAGTACATATTTATAATCAAAATTTTAGTAAGTTCAAGTAGATACATTAATTGAAAAATGTTATCGAAATGTAGACTAGTCGTATGAATTCCACAGTTTATTATAGTCAATAATGGCCATACAACAGATAATAATACAGCAGTTGTTATATTTTTATCACAATTTTTATGAAAATATTTTTTATATTTTAGATTGTGTATTTTTAAATGATATATGCTGGCAGTCTTACTTAGATTGCCAGCTTACATCTTACATCTAAATATATCTAAATATTCACATAATTTGCGGAATTTATTATTGGTTAATTCCTTCTAAATAAATATTTAGAAGTAATTAACCAATAATCACCAACTCATCTAATTCCCTAGTGTATATTTACATCGCACTTACTTATTAGCGTATGAATAATTATACAATACTTACCTACTTCTAACGAATCAGTTAACTAGCACTTACCGATTTTTTGTTATTGCTCTACCAAAAAACATTCCATTTATGTTACATATGTAAGGCATCTATTAAGAGCCTTTGCATGTACGTTACTGAACTATTGAATGCTATAAATATCTACATTTTGTCAGTGATTGATTATAATATTAATTATAATATGAAGACAACCCAACCTTCAAGTCCTAATAACGGCACGGTGCTAAGTTTTATTTATCGTGTCTGAACTGTCGCGAAAATATTTTACGAAATGTTATATGAGTTAATTATTATTATTATTTATTCAAATTACCAATCAGGCAATAGATAAAATAAAAGCCAAAATAGTTTACTATCATAATAATAGTATAGTATACATGATGTGCCGAGGGACTGTATTAAGCTGCTTTAAATGAGACACGTTCCTAGTGAGGTAAAATGTGTATAATCAACTACTAGAGAAAACATAATGACAAAGAATACTCTTTACTTAATCTTTATTGTGGTTGTTTTCTAGTGCCATATGCGCTAGAAAACAATCACTGTAAAGAAAAGGAATATAACGTTAAAATATAAAATGCAATAAAAATATATTTATAAAAAATCTATAAATAAGTTTGCCTACGGCAACACATGGTATGCAAAGTTTCTTTAATATACTTAATATTAATTTTATAATACTTGTTATTCGCAAGGCGCGACACTAAATGGGTTGAGTGGTGGTGGTTTTAATAACTGCTTCATAATGAAAAATGTTAACTAATTTTGAATATTAGCTTTCCATATTCTCTGTCAATAATAAAAAATATAAGTGAAAAAATTACTTCAATACGTAGTATGGTACGTACCTACGCGGTGTTCGCGCGTGATTCTGCATTTGACCATACAAACATCACTTGCTCTTTTTACTTGTATGTAACCGATAGCATCATCACCAAAGCTGTCTCTTGCCGACTTGGAATAAGTTACAAATAAAAATAAATAAAACGGCCTACGTATCTTATTAATAAGACAAATCAAAATTAAAAAAAGATTTAATACATCTGTTCAACCCACTACATTTGCAATAAATCAATATATGTGTTTAGTTAAATTTACTAAGAGAGGTACCTATATTCACAAATGTACATACGTACCTATAGATATAAAACTCTAACACATATTTGTTGTCTATAACGTAAAACTTAAAAGATTTGGTACTTCTGCCTGCTGCTATAATACTTGCAATGACTTCAGTTGGGTATTTTTTTTTACAAAAAAAAACATAAATTATTTTCTAAATAGCAAGAAAAGTTAACTTATGTTTGCATTTTTATTCCTCGCATTTCGGCGTCAACGAAATCACTATCTGTTGGTAAAATGACGTCACATGTCACGTGACTGTTAGCGGGACTCGAAATTTATCGTAAGTTTAAATGCCTATAAAATCAAAACTAATACATATTTTTTACTAAAACAAAAACTAGTATATTTGTATACAAACATAGTTTACTATAGCAACTTTCGACCGATTTGGCGTACCTATTAACATTCTTCATTAGGTAAAAATCACTAAAAAATTTGTGGTTTAAACAAAATACGTTGTAATATCGGAACCGGTTTCGTTTGTTATCATTATGCAACATTAACGAAGGACATACTATATAGCATGGCCATCAACCACGTGGTGCGCAGCGTACGAGACGAGAGAATTGTTTATTTTTAATAAATTACATTGTTTCTCATTTAAACATTTTACAAGAAATATAAATAAGTTGTCGCATCGCTTATTTGCAACTGTTTACATCATATTCGAGTTAGTCAAGATGAGTCACAACTTTATAGTGTAGAGGTCTACTAATACTACAAAAGCCTGTTTAATATAAAGTCAACAGGTTTAATATCCATTTTAGAATGTATTCCATAATTATTTATATCAAGTATTAAAGAAAAATCTATAAATAGTACAAAGTAAATTCACTGTTTTTGTCCGATTGTGTAAAGCTTATTTTTAAACCACACAACGGAGTTTAATACGGTTATCACTATCATTTTGAGAAATTCTTCTGAAAGGTTTTATGTATAGTATACAACATGCAAGCATACTCAGGATCTCCGTCATCACACTTTATAAATCGAGATGCCGACTTGGACGAAAAAGGATCAAGAGCATATTTACACATCTATCTCTTTTACTTATTTCACTTGTATTTTTATTGTGTAATTTAGCTACTACTATTTAGCTAGCCAGTCATACATGTGTAATTTTGTAATTATACGATGAACTCCTATGGAAATTTTTAATCAGTTTAATCTAGAATTTATCATATAATGCGATAAGATAAGGAGTTGAAACACTTCGAGTTGTCTAGACACGGTTGTTAAGAAGGCTGTAGGAGCCTTTTTTAGAAATATATATTTGCCATTTGCGAAATTACAACTTGGATTTTGAAACATTTTTAACCGAGTATATTGGTAAACTTCATTGGCTATTATATGTAGGAGATAAGGCATAATACATACATACTACTCAAAACAAAATAAGGGCACCATAAGTAACATAAGCCTCGTAATTCAATAAATTTTGATTCATAATATATGAGATAGATTATTTGAAAATGTTCGATTGGAATTCATTTATGCCAAAAATTGCATTTTGGGAAAGAATAAAGAAAAAAACAATGGATTTAAAAAATGCGATATTTTCTTAATGAACGTTTAAAGATTATTTTTTTGTTGTTTAGTATCTTGTGTGACCTCATCCTTTATTAACACATTCCCATATAATTGAAGAATTAAATGGCAAACGTTAACTTTTAAAATGCTCTCCCAGCGCCTTTTCAGAGATGATGATCTTGTTGCGTATTTATGCGAATGTCACTTTCTCTGACACTTTTTTTTAGTTGATCCCATAAATTCTCGCTCTGATTCAGGTTCTCTGGCTGGCCACTGAATCACTTCAATTTCAGCTTCAGATAATATGGAAATTGTTACTGGCGCCGTGCGCAGTCGAGCATTGTCCTCCAGCAAGACGAACCCTGGTCTAGCTTGCTGTGCAAATGGAATAATCTGGTGTTGTACCATATTGTTAACGTAACTTTGGGCAGATACAGCAACTTTATTAAAAATTACGAGCTCAGTTTTTCGTAGTAGAGTTATTCCGCCCCAAACCATTACACTGGGTCCATCAAAACGGTCAGTTCTGTGTGTTTAAACCGTTTCTCCAGATCATCTCCGCACTCTAATACGTCGTCACTCTAAAACTTAATTTTACTCTCATCAGAAAAGAGCACTGCAGCACAGTCATGAACTCTACAATCCAGGTGTTGTCTTGTAAACTTAAACAATTTGCGCGATGCAGTTAAATAAATACGAACTAAACATCTTCTTGAGTATTGTTGATCTTCATGGAGATGATTTCGTACAGTTTGGTCGCACTCACGAGTGTCTGTAGCTCGGCATAATAAAAAGTTATAAAATTATATGTCACAAAGACACAATTTTCAAGGGTCTTCAAGTTAAGCGTTAAATAAAAACAGTGTACCCACGAAAATGATTTGTCACTATAATCATTAGTAACACTTTAAAAAGCCCATAATTTAACATTTACAGACTATTACAAACTTGAAACAATAGTAATTTTTGTTTATAGTATTATTTTATTAGTGGCCCTTATTTTGTTTTGAGTAGTATATACTCATCTGTTTTTGCTGAAAACAAAATTTATAATTATGTTAGATAAACCGGATTAACTTAAAAATTGCAATTTTGCAAAATCCACTCTAAAGTGTGTCTTTGTTGTATAAATATGTAATAAAACTATTAATGACTGAAAAATATATTTTAATGTTATAGTAGATAGAGAAGGTGACACAATATAA